AATTTTTAGAACTTTCAGTTGCTATTACATTATTAGCAGTTTTAGATGCTTTTTTGTTTTTTTTAGCAGCTTTTTTGTCGTTGTCCTTTGATTCACCACCAAATTTTTTACTATATTCCTCAGCCAATTTTTCATCAATCCTCTTGAAAAGATATTCAGCTTTGCCAATTTGGTGACCAGCTTCAATATCCATTGTAAACGTATCAGGAATATTCCTCAATGGTGCATTTAATTGACGGACAATGGACTCAGTGGTGGACGGCATATATGGACTAAATAAGGCGGAAAGGAGATAAATCAAATTTATAGAGACACCAATGACCGAAGCGCATTTCTCAGGGTTGTTTGCAAACAAAGTGTTGTCAAGTTTTGATTCCTGCAGATAACCATTGCCCTCTCGCGAAATCTCCATAGCTGTTTCAAGACCTGCGCGTAATTTTATATTTTCTAACGCTTCAATATAATTCGTCAACAATTTATTGATATTCTTTACGAGTGTTTGTTCGGATTCGGAATCATAAGAGAAAGATGGGATAGTGCTATCATATTTTGCTGCGACGAATTTCATTACACGATTGACAAAGTTTCCAAGATTGGCCAACAATTCATTATTATTCCTGACAATAAAATCTTTCCAAGTGAATATAGAATCATTTGTTTCTGGGCGACTTGAAATCAAATAATATCTCCAGACAGAAACAGGTATTCCAGTATCCTTTGCATCGTCACCAAATACTCCAATATTGCGAGATTTGGAAAACTTCGTATTTTCATAATTAAGATATTCTAAATTGGAACATACATAGATACATAATTATATAACAAAAACAAATTCAGAATATCAAGAAATTGTCAATTCTTACCAGTCGTGCTTATATGATGCAGTAGGGTCCATTCCTCGTCCGTACCCAATAATGAACAAGGAAACATAACAGTATGGAAAGGAACATTGTCTTTCCCCATAAATTGATATAGTTTGACCTGATCCGGATTCTTCCACCATTTTTCCCATTCATTCGTGTAATTTGCCGTTATAGATAGATAACTTTGCATATCAAAAGTAATGTTAGACTAGATGCTAGTAACACTGGAGTTGTAAAAATTGAATATATAAAAAGCTTACCCAACAGGAGCATCAAACCAAACATAAAACACCTTTCCTTTCATTCCTTCAAGTGGCACCGGAGTGCCCCAGCTAAGATCACGTGTAATGCAACGAGGTTTTAACCCTTCTTTAAGCCAAGATTGTGTAATATTTTTACTATTAGCTGACCATTTACCCTCAACACTAGCCTTTTCTATCCAATTCTCAACTTTTGGTTGTAACTTTGTCAAGTCTAAAAACATGTGTTCCGATTTTCTTGTAATAGGTGTACTACTATCTGTTTTACATCGTGGGTTTATAAGTTCTACAGAGTTAAGAAGTTGACCACAAAGATCACATTGATCTCCTCGCGCATCCTACAAGTCGTAATTAAAATATTTGACAGTTATTTATGTCCCTATACCTTAAGTCAAATAAAGGTTATTTACACACCTCATAGCCACATTTAGGACAGGTTCCTTCTACGAAACGATCCGCAAGAAACCTACAGTGAATTATTTCACTTCGCAAACAGCTTTCACATGGTTATAAAAAAAAAACAAAAATTCTAAAGTTTACCGTTGACATTTTTCGCAGAATAATTGAATCACGATATCTTCACTAAGATATCCATTTTTGTGCAATTGTAAAAAGATGTCTTGTGAAATACTAAAATTTATTGAACAAAAGATAGACATAAGAACCTATTAAATAATCATAATCTTAATAATTCATTGTAAATAAAAACATACTCAGTTTGCTGCTGAGTTGTAGTCCGGCCAAAATAATCGAATTTTATATCGAACCACTTGTAAACGTTTGCATGAATGGAATGGTATTTGTCACAAAGTTCTTGACACGAGATTCCTTCTTCTTGAGCTTTTGTCTCTGTGGCAGTCCCATATTCGTCAGTACCACAAATGTATAACGTATTATAGTTACGAGAACGCGAATATCTTCAGAAGAAAACGTAAACCGCAGTGCGCAGTAAACAATCAGAATAATCAATAATTGGTTCAGCGGTAATTCAAAAGTTATTGAAAATTACTTTTGCTTTTACCTTGCAAACACGTCTGCACTTAGGACACTTCCAATAACATTTCCCAAATGAGGTACATTATTAACATAGGGCAGCGCGCTAGTGACTAATACGTTCCGCTCGCCAGGAATAGGTAACCTATAGGAACAAATTATTAAAAATCATAGCACACTAACCTCTTAACGTAAACTAACGTTGCTAATACCTAATTCTATCAGGTTGGAGATCAAGGACAACATTTGGACTTATTTTTCTCACAAGAGTGTTCGGTGAAGAACTCATTATGTATGTTTTAAGGTAAATGACATACTTCCGTATAACGATAACGATAATATTAATCATGTATCACATGATAACAAATCCTATCATATGACCATGATCACGTTCGCACGACTTTTTTATACAAGGAGCATTTATGAAATTTATTCACATTAAAGGCATTAAGGTAAATTCTAGATACATTAAATAAAATTGTATACAATTTCTAAAATTAAAAATTCATTTACTGCCAAAATTAAAAATATCTTTCTTCCCTAACACCTTCCAACTTTTCGCTCTGCGTCCACCGTGTTTTCATATCTTCCAACAAAGCATCTTTCTCCACAAAAATTTGTCTAACCCATTCACTCAACTTTTCATCTTCTTGGGGCAAATCTTTAATTGCATATCGTCTTATATGGACATGGAATGTCCATGGCGGTGAGAGAGGTGAGTATGAATGAACTTGTAGGAGATTTGGTGGAAATTGAAGTCCTTGGGTAATATGACGGTATGCAATTGTAAAATCTAAATATAAATAATGATTATAAGTTATCTCCAAGTTTTCAGAGTTAAGAATAATATAAAAATAATGTCTAGTACCGTAAACATATTGTACATGAGCATTTCGTAAATGACGAATGCATGCTACAAATCCCTTTGTACGGGGCACTAACAGATTTCGTAAAATTGGTAAACCACGTTCCTTTGCAAATCTTTGACCCTACAAAAGTACTTTATTAAGAACAAAATTTGGAATTCTGATGATTTGAAAAACAAGTATCTAACGTATCTAACCTCCAACAACTTCTTTGAAGTCAATCTTGTTCCTTCGACAAAATTAACTATCCAAATCGGTGCTGCATAGGCTTTAATAGTTTTGAATATCTTCTTAAGTTGGCTTTCGTCCTATCAATATGGAATCTAAAATTAGTATACAATTGAGAATTAACAATACACTAGTTAAAAAAAAATAATAAAATACCCGAGTCCAGTTTCGTTTAATGAAAATCATTCCCATAAGCTAAATTAAATATTTAAAATAGTGAAAATTTTAATTAAAATTATTTATCGGAAAAATATACATAATACTTACCCACATGCCAAATCCAAAACAAGGGATCTATTAAATAACCAAAAACACACAAGATTAATTACTTTTGGCACTAACATTATGAACCATAAATGAAAAGCAAATACGTGCATATTTCAAGGAATCTTTTGCGAAATATTTGACATGTGGTAACATATTTCTACGTATTGCAACTGAATGCAACATGTAAAAATCCGAAAAAGATTGATGGTTGCTAATCACTATAGCACTTTCGTCCGATGGAATTTTATCACCCGAGAATGTGATATGGCCCCTATGTTGACGCTTTTGGTACACAATTAATAACAAACACAAATATTATTGGCGGAAAAAAAATCAATGACTTACCTCAAAAATATACTTTAATACGGGAATAAAATTTAAATCAGTATTGAACAATAACAAATATTGAAAGGAGTGAATGCAAGAAAATATTTACGACTTGCCTGCATAACCCACCACATACTTTGAGCTCCACGCGTATTGATACTCCATACTAGTCTTCTCGAGAACGGTATCAGTAGCATGGAACATAACTGGACAATATTTATGCTAATGGCAAAACTATAAAATAAATTAAACGATTTTGAGTAATAGTTTTATTGACAGATATCGACAAATAATAAAATTTTTAAACTGCAAACCTAAACAATGCAGTGCCATAAAAGCACAGCCTAAGAGCTTGAGAAATGTATTCCAGTATTTTCATATTATCCAGATCAAAGATTTTGATTCCAATGTTACAATAACTGATATTTATATGATGGCTGGAATTTTTATGTTTCGGCCCGAATTATGATTGGACAGATTAGGTGCAGGCCACAAGGTAACAAACTTTCGGTCATATGATCGCATGTTTTTACACGTATGACGTATACCGAAGAGTTATAATCTTAATGTGGTTCTCTTTGATATAATAATCACAAAGTCAAGCACTCTAATATCAGAATGTATTCGATATTTTATTTAATAAAACATAAAAGCTGAATGTTAAGTATGTCATATATAGCGATAGGTTTAAAATTATCGAGCGGTGCTATTACGTGAGAGAAATAGTTGTATGTCGATGTAATTTGTTATATTTATAATAATGATCGGCATCATAATTTTTGGCTTTGATATATTTAAATTTAGTGGTGAATGATTGGCTTAGCGAAACACAAAATATTGCAGGTCTTTAATTTTAACGATTATCATTTCATCTAGACGGTAAAAAATCCGAAGTAAAAAAATTAAAAAATCAAAAAATAACCAAACCTTGTCTCAGTTAATAATTTTTGTTAGAATTTACCAAGTCTCGTTAAGTACTTCGTTTCTTGCCTGAGCTCTACTGTCTACTAGAGCTCTCCCAGAATTCTACCAGAACTCTACCAGAACGGGAATAGTCTATAAAATGCGATCAATTTCGTGATACAAGAGGTAACCTTTTTTAGGCTTTTTTTTTTTTCAAAAATGCAAATTCGGTAAATTTGCGTTTCAAACAATTATGAGCTAGTCTGGGTGTTAAAAAAAAAAATAATTAACTTCGCACCCTACCGTGCCGTATAACCAATTATACCACCCACTTGTTCGATGTTCCGGTCTGAATGTCAAGTCCGAATGTCGATATGAATTAAGACCTGGAATCGAATATTTTTATAGCTATATATACTACGTATCATATATCCTGGAACAACTAAAAATGAATAAATTAGCATTAGCCACGAAACCAATATTCTGCAGATCGACCAAATTTCAGGTCGCAATAGACCGGAATTTTTCCTAAAATTATAAATAAAGGTGTCCAGAAGCTAATTTTGCTGTAATATAGTTGGTTATGATTAATCTATCCCTAGAGAATTGCCGATGACCGAAAGTTTCTGTTTCGGTAACTTATTGATTCTGACTCGATTCTGATTTATCTATCTAACCTGAGTGCCGCTAATCTATTCCAAGTAATATCTCATGTTTATACGTACGATACGATACGTATAATCTTGATTTGATTTTGATAATGTACGTACGTACGTACTCACATTATCAAAATCTAATCACAGGACCTTACCATTCCTCAGATCTTATCGTTATCGTTATCTAAAAATGCACTTAGGTAGTGTTTTGGGTTTAAGTTTATATCGGTAAGCCGGCAGATTTTTTTAAAAAAAAATTTTCATAAAAACCAATTCACTTTCTGAATTACAACGTAGCATACGTTACACTTAATTTTGCCCAATCAAGAAAATGCACCGCTCGATAATTTTAAACCTATCGCTATATATGACATACTTAACATTCAGCTTTTATGTTTTA